CCCGTGGCCTTGGTGTTATCAGCACCACACTCTCCCAAGTGAGCCACGGGCCAGCCCTATAACTTTTGCTGATTTAGAAAATAGAACAATAAAGAAGAAAATAAAAATTGCTCAGAGATAATCACTTATTATTTTGGTGAATTTCCTTCTATTGTTTTATATATGGATATAGAAGTATCTATATTTTTAAACAAAGAATTGACATTGTAAGGTATATGTGAGTATATATTTATATAAATATAACATTATATAGTATTATATAGTGTGTATATATGTATTTATGCATGTGTATATCATATACGTGTATACATATCAACATTTTCAGTAACTTTTTTGTGAGCTTGGTGGTAAAAATTCCTTTTAAAGGTCACGTACTTAATTAAACCATTCCCCAGTAGATGGACACATAAGTTGTCTGAAGTATTTGGCTGTTAGAGACATGGCTGTGAGGGCATCTCTGTGTGTATATTTTACATACTTCTCTAATTAGTTTCCTGGGTCAGTATCCAAGAAGTAAAATTACTGGGTCAGAGAATATGAACTTTAAGTCCCTATTGCCAAACTGCTTTTACAAAACATAGCATTTTACATATCCACCATAAGGTATATATAGCTCCTGAAACTCAGCTAAGACTTAATGATTACATTAGGTGACAGAGAACAATTTAGGGATATAAGCTGTGTAGTCCCGGTCACTTCTCTTGGCTTTGGTAGTGCTTATTTTGTGTGCTCCAGGTATGATGGGAAGGTGACTTTTATTCTCCAAATAGCATCTAGTGAAATGAGCCATCAGATCCCATAAATCCATGCTGAATCTTGAATGAGGACCTTAAAAACACTGGGTATTCTTTTAAGCTCCTCAAAAGGTTTTTCAACTGATGTGCATTTCATGAAAGTACATGGCCAGAAATATAAGCAACTTCTGAGAAAGTTTGTGCAGCCCACATAAAAGTATTTCTTAGAGCTATATTTTCCAAAGCGTGTTCCTTAGAACGCACTTTTGGTTCCCAAACTGGCAAGCTGCATCAGAATTACCTGGAATGGGCCGGCCCGGTGGCGCACTGGAGAGTGCGCTGCTTAGGAGCGCGGTGGCACTCCCGCCAAGGGTTCGGATCCCATGTGGAGACCGGTTCCCGCTCACTGGCTGAGCGAGGTGCGGGCGCAACACTGAGGGTTGCGATTCCGTTACCGGTCAGTAAAAAAGACAAAAAGGACAAAAAAAAAAAAAAAAGAATTACCTGGAACAATCCCTGGGCCCTCTCCCAGATCTAGCTAACCAGAATCTCCAAGGATGGGCCCTGGGAGTCTGCAGTTTTGCTCTCTGCGGGTCGTTTTGATGTGTGGCATGGTTGCGAACCCCTGCTTTAGTACACTGGCTCTGAGGGGTTTACTGGGGCTGCTCACATTTGAAGACAGGGGACTGAACACACTAAACAGGATGTCAGACCCTTCTTTGGTTACAGGTTACAGAAACCTAAGTCAAACCATTTTGTGGTTCACAGAATTGCAAGTCCAGAGGTAGAGGTACTGTGCAGTATTAACTAAACCAGGCCTCCAACTAGATTGCCAGGAAACATCCGTTTCTCTGGGCCTCATTTTTTTGTGTTGTCCTCAGTCTCGGTTTGGCCTCCCCAGCCTTTGTTCAGCAGGGCACAACCCCAGAGGGAAGAGTGTGCCTCTTTCCTAGAACCCCAGCACTGTGTGGGGAAAGCAGGCCTAACCTCCTTGTCCCTGTCATGGGCATGTGCTGCTCAGGTCGGCCAAGCCCTGACACTCTCCCCACCTGGAGTCTGAGGCAGCTTAGCCCTCTTTAACCATGACTCTGAGCAGGGAGGAGGGGTTTCAAGATGAAATTCTGCATAGGGAAACAAATGGGCCTACTATTCAGAGGCTTTAAAACATTACTGGACATGAGGAATCTCAAAGTGAGGTATGTGGTCTGCAGTATAGTGTTCCCACGAAATTGTAGTTGTTATTGAATATATATTTCTATCTTATATTTTCACATAATATTATACCATAAGCACTTTCTGTTTTATGAAAAATTCTCTGAAAACATTTTTTTTTTTTTTTTTTTTTTTAAAGATGACCGGTAAGGGGATCTTAACCCTTGACTTGGTGTTGTCAGCACCACACTCACCCAGTGAGCCACGGGCCATCCCTATATGGGATCTGAACCTGGGGCCTTGGTGTTATCAGCCCCGCACTCTCCCGAGTGAGCCACGG